CTCCTGCGTGGTGGCGTCATCGTCGACATCATCATTGTCATTAGCAGCACCCTCCTCGTCGTCTGCCCCCGAGATGACGGACGGGGCCGAGGCCGTGCTGAGGCGCCTTTGCGGGGTCGACGGAGGGACTGAAGGCGGTGGCGCGGGCGGCGTGGCCGAGGGCGGCGTGGCCGAGGGCGGCGTGGCCGCGGGCAGCGCGGGGTCGATCGACTGAGTCAACTCCGGCCGGAAGAATCGCTCATCTCCCTGGTCCATCACGGCCTCCATCACACGGGCGAGGACGGTGTCGAGGACGAGACGCTTCTGCGTCTCGTTCGCATACCTTGGATGACGCGAGGGCTGGATAGCAAGTGACGGATGCAAGCACAACTGCTGACTGCTGCCATGGTACACCACCAGGCACGGGACCCTGAGTCGCACTGCCTGCAGCAGCATAGTCCCGGCACCCGGCGTGAAGATGACCAGGCGGGTGGCATCGTCGGGCATGCGAATGGTATGCAAAATCATTTTGCACACCACATCACACCTGTGACAAGTGGCTTCAAATCAACATGGCTGCATTTCCAACTATACCAATGAAATGCATCTGTCAGGCCTTTCGCAGAGGGCGAGGGGGACGTGGTCGAGGGCGTCCATGTCGGCCGTGTAGCTCTGCAACGACGAAGCCAGGGAAAAAACATGTATGACACACTCACGAACTCAAACGAACGCTGCCTCGATCTTGCTGTCGCTCACCAGGTTCCGCTGCTGCTGCGACTGCCACGCCTTGTCATCATGAGGTGCTAAGTTAAGTTGAAAGACACTGCTGTAAATGACAAGGGACAAACATAACTCGGGCCTTCTCCTTCTCAAAGCGCTGGACCATGACGAGGGCGTTGGGATCCGGCAACGGAATCGGCAAGAAGGGCGAGGCCGAGGACTCCCACCCTGGTCCACCCAGGAACTTGTGCTCCCGCGACGGCACCAATCCATTCTCCTGCCTGAGTTGGAAACACAGATTGCAAGGCGATTACTAATCGTCACTTCACACTGCAGTCTAGGCTCATACCAAAGATGAAATTCTCCCGTCCGTGGACAGTGGCGAGGGCGCCTGCGGGGGCGGTCTTGCGCCGCTTGAGGGCCGCCTCCTCAGACCTCATGACTGACAGAGGTGAACGAATTGCAACAAAAGAACTGCTACGAATTGAGACATGTAGTAGGACTACTGGCCTCGTCGTCCTAGTCATAGCAGCAACACGACGTCGTAGGAGAAGTGGCAGCAGAACGACAATGTTATTGGTGTGTACTACTACTTACCCGCAGCAGTGGCAGTAGCACCAGCGTTGGTAGTAGCGGTAGCAGTAGCACTAGCTCAGCCGCAATAGCACTAGTAGTAGCAGTAGTTTGTAGTCGTAGTAGCTACTATTTCTGAAATTACCTTTATTAGCAGTAAGATTACAGTCTAGCAGTAGCTTTAGTTAGTAACAGTGAACTCGCAGCAGTAGTAGTAGTAGTAGTAGTAGTAGTAGTACTAGTTGTAGTAGTAGTAATAGTAGTAGTAGTAGTAGTAGTAACAATAAAACAACAGTAGTACTAACTACACTTACTAGAACCAGTACCAGTAGTACTAGGAGTAGTAGTGGGTGGTAGTAGTACTAGTAGTAGTAGTAGTAGTAGTAGTAGTAGTAGTAGTAGTAGTAGTAGTAGTAGTAGTAGTAGTAGTAGTAGTAGTAATAGTAATAGTTAGTAATAGTAGTAGTAGTAGTAGTAGTAGTAGTAGTAGTAGTAGTAGTAGTAGTAGTAGTACTTACTAGTAGTAGTAGTAGTAGTAGTAGTAGTAGTAGTAGTAGTAGTAGTAGTAGTAGTAGTAGTAGTAGTGTAGTCGTCGTCGTCGTCGTAGTTTGTCGTAGTAGTAGTTGTTGCTGTTGTAGCAGTAGTAGTAGTAGTAGTAGCAGTAGTAGTAGTAGTAGTAGTAGTAGTAGTTAATAATAGTAGTAGTAGTAGTAGCAGTAGCAGTAGCAGTAGTAGTAGTAGTAGTAGTAGTAGTAGTAGTAGTAGTAGTAGTAGTAGTATTAGTAGGAGTCGTCGTCGTCCTAGTAATAGTAGCAGTAGTATATAGTAGTATTACTAACTTAGTACTAGTAGAAGAAGTCGTCGTAGTAGTAGAAGGTACAACGAGTACTACTACCTACTGCTACTACGACTACAGCTACTACTACTACCAGTACTAGTGGTCGTCGTAGTAGTAGTGGTAGTAGTCACTGGAAGTCGTAGCAGTAGTAGTAGTAGTAGTAGTAGTAGTAGTAGTAGTAGTAGTAGTAGTAGAAAAAGTTTTAGACTAGTAGTAGCAGTAGTAGTAGCAGCAGTAGTAGTGGTGGTAGTAGTAGTAGCAGTAGTAGTAGTAGTAGTAGTAGTAGTAGTAGTTTAGTAGTAGTAGTAGTAGTAGTAGTAGTAGTAGTAGTAGTAGTAGTAGTAGTAGTAGTGGTTGTAGTAGTAGTAGTAGTAGTAGTAGTACTAGTGTAGTAGTAGTAGTAGTAGTAGTAGTAGTAGTGAGTAGTTAGTAGTTAGTAGTCAGTAGAAGACGAAGTAGAAGTAGAAGCAGACGTGGAAGTAGACAAGTAGTGAGTAAGTCAGCAAGTGAGTAAGAAGTAAGACTAGCAACTTCAACAGTACCAGATTGTCGGTCGGAGATTGAACAATACAAGTAATTTAATACTATCTTATCCCAGACATACCACTACTGTTACCAAACGTAAAAAATGTATTCGACTCTTAACATTCAGGCAGTTAACTTCTAATAAATGATTATTAGTAGTTTAAATCAAACGAGTCACTGGCGCACCATCTTGTAATCCCGTCTCCTTTGCAACGACGCTTGGTCTGGAAGCAAAAGGATCTGCTGCTGTCCGAGGCCGATGTTGCCCATGGAGCGCTTCACCTCAGTCATCGCCCTCTTGCTGTCGTCCGGCACAAAGGTGACGAGGACGTCCTGAAAACCAACAGTGAACTTGTGACTGTGAGAATCCAGCGGCGTGAGTCTGGAGTTTAAGGTTTAGGAGTTGTACTGTATGGTTTAGAGTTTCTAGTCTCCTCTGTGCTGGCGAGGGCGTCGAAGCACTCGACGAAGATCGACCAGGCCGCCTTGTTGAACCTAGGCTTGGTGAGTGATCAACTGATACAATAAAGAACTTAACCGTCTGCAACAAATACAATTTCACGCTGGCTGTGAATAGCATCAGTCACCATCCCCTTTGTCTGAGCCACACCTGTCCACAAACTTAAAATTTGTAACACTGCGTCGTTCGAAGTAGCTAAGTAGCAATTCGCCGTAGTAGTACTGAACTAGTACTGGTATTAAATCACACTCAATCATACAAGTCACATCGGCATTTTGGTGTACGGGTTGTGGAGCTTGCAATACACTCCAGAGGGCTCTGTAAAAAGAGAGCTGTCATACATCCAGGCCGTTCCTGTCTTCTTGGCACCGTCTGACACTTTCAAGAAAGTGTTGCCAGACAGTGCCTCCACAAGTCCCTGGACGAGGGCTGATCGAGGTCGAAGACGAGGGCCTGCAAGTAGAAGGCCATCTCCTCCTGCAAGACATCATTTAATGTAATAAGGACTTTCAACATTTTGGACTGAACAGTTACAATGAAAGAAACTTAACTTTAACCTGCCAGCCTTGGCCGCGGAGATGGCCAATCTTCTCCTTTTCTCGGACTCCGACTCCGTGGCCAGCGTCGGAATCATCTCCGCGGTGACGTCGACGTAGCTGTCCTCCTCGGCGCCGTCCTGGCTCTCGACTGCCGGCTCTGAGGCCTGCGAGGACGAGGTCATGCGCCAACTGTCCAGGCAGCCTGACACCAGAGCCCGGACTTCGGGATGCTCTTCCCTGGCAGAGCTCTGCACCGCCTTGAAGAAGCTTGAGTCGTGGACCCCATCGAGGCACAGGACGAGGACGAGGACGAGGGCGCAGAGCACGAGGACGACATCTCCCCGATGATGCTCCACTCTTGGTGGCCCCAGGCAAAGGGATCCTGGCAGGTCTGCAAGGCATTGTAGAACTTCACCTGCAAGGGATCGCTGGTTGCCTCCACGGTTTGCTTCACCTGAGTTCCCGTGCAAGCCTAACTGTAGTTAGTTACAAGTTATTATTAACATTGACAATAATAATAATAATAAATTAAAAGACTACTAACTGGGGACCTATTCACCGCATGCAAGAGCATCCGCAGAACCTTCAACCGCAGGACGAGTGCGTTGGCCGCCTGCAAAGAAGAAACTTCATTCTCAACTGATTGACTTGACGGCATCATGTGTTTTGGAAGCCTCTGCTGCTTGATCCCTCTTGAGGTCGAGGACGTTGGTGAAGGGCATCACCACACGCAGATCCCCGGGCAGATCGTACTCAGGTCGCATCTCCTGCCAAGGAACGCAGAACTCTGCAGACGACACTGAACTACCGAGGGCGTCTACCTCCCAACTCAGGGCCTGAGTGAGCAGCGCAAAGACGTACTTAAATTACTCAGCCGTCTGCTTCAAGGACGAGGCCCTTGGCTTGTCATGAGAACACGACAATAAATTCCATTAAATATTATTCTAAAGCTTAGCAGAAACGCAAAGGACCTCCCATTAGCAGCCAGGGCTCACGCGTGTGACTATGGCCCAATAGGACAACCATGTCCTTTTCCCATTTACGACCTGTGTGGATCGCAACCGGTCCAGCAGCCCGCTTTCCACGGATTTCTTGTACATCGCCAGCAGCTTTTGCACCTTTGTTGGCACAGACAGACCGACTTCTGAGAGCATGACCATTATGACAATAATTAAGGAACAGGCCTGATCGTCTGTGTTCAACGTGGATTCTGCGCTGCCCGCTGTGATCTTGTTTTGCAGCAAATTGAAGATGTCTTTGTTGGACGAGGGCTGGTGCTCCTTGAAAATTAAAACACACAGACAGGGATGCACGACAGGTGTCATTGATCAGAGATTAAATTGAAAATCAATGTCATGCAAGCCACTGCGACGAGGGCGGCCTTGAGTGTTGCGAGTCTTGTTGCATAGTTGAACGGCAGGTGGTTGCCCTGCTCGAGGCATTTCTTCTGTATGTCCTTGGCTTCTCGGCTTCAACAAGAAAATGTGCAAACAACACTACTCAGACTCATACAATAGCTAGTGTTGTGTCAGGTCACCTCCCCCGACTGGATAATCCGAATGATCGTCTTCTCGCCGCCAAACAGTCGGGTCACGACAATGTGAACCATCCCAGCCAGCTCCGCAAACTTCGAAGAGCACTCGGAGCCCTGACAGGGCTCTGATACTGATACATGTGAGACACAGTCGTTATTGATCACACGACAAAACTCATCCTGGCCTTGTCACACTCGACCGCCTCCTTCCATGCGAGGAGGAAAGACAGAATCTTGTGACTGTCCTCTGCGAGGACGAGGGTGCCTTTTGTGGAAACCTCCGTGGCAAAGGTGGAGGCTATCAAGGGTCCGCTGGCGAGGACGCGGCTCTTGCTCCACCAGTAATCTTTGGCGTCCATCAGAACCGGAACCGGCGGCAACTCTCCGTGTACGAGGTCGAGGTCGGCCAAACACCCGGAAAAATTGGCCACCTGCGGGTCACTCAAAGCGCTCTACTACACTGACTGCGACTGATCTGTGCTTCGCTATGCTGTCAGTCGCGAGCCTTGCCGACCATTGCTCCTGTCCAGTTCTTGGGGAAGGCCTCCACACCTGCCACCAAGCTCTTCCCTGACGGCACCCACTGTCTCGTCCTTTTCAGAAAGGCGACGGCCTCATTGATCCTCAACAAGCACATGTGGCACTAGCAAGTCTGCTGTGGGCACATGCGGCAAATCTGCTGCCTGCGACAGCGACTCCCTTTATTACTGAACTGACCAAGCTTCAAGATCACCGTCTCCGGGGACGGGGCCGGGGGCGTGGCTGTCTCGCCGTTTTCATCGACGAGGGCGGCTGACATGGATGGATCCGCCGAGGTCGCCGCCTCTTTCGAATTTGGTTTGGCAGGGCTTTTGACCTTGGCTTTCGCCTTGGCCTTGCCCTTTGCCTCCGGTTTCTTGCCCATGGTGCTCGCCTGTCCGTCTGCTAGCACCGCAGGGCCAACTTTGAGCAAAATGCTCTGGGATCTTTGAGCTGTTGTAAGAAGGCATATGCCGAGCAATGGCACACATGCAAACCAGCTGACACGTGAGATCCGGATGACAGTGACAGTTGCTGAGCAGCAGACCTGCGAGGACGAGGACTGCAGCTGCGGCGGGCTTGGACCTGATTTAGTAAGAGATACTCAGTCTGGCGTTGCTAGACCTTTGGCCCTGCTGCACAACACTGTCTTTAACGGGCAAAGAGGCTCGTTACATTAGGGGTCGAAAAAAAAAGGATTCTGATTTGACAAAACCCAGTCATAAATGTAACCCCCCAGGGGGGGTACATCCTTGCAGGCCGGCCCCGGGCATGTGTGCAAGGATGTAGGGGTCCGGGGGGGTTGCGTTTGTGATCGGTTTCAGGAAACGAAGGGTTAGAATCTTTATGTTAAACCCAGTCATAAATGTATACCCCCCAGGGGGGGTACATCCTTGCAGGCCGGCCCCGGGCATGTGTGCAAGGATGTAGGGGGTCTGGAGGGTTGCGTTTGTGATCGACTTCTGAAAACCGAATCCTTTTTTGTTGGAATCGGTTGCAACGGCTTTCCAATACAATCCCAGGGCCCCCGGCTGTCAATCACTCCTCGAACTCTTCCGCATCAGATCTCAAGACACAACAGCCAAGGATCGATGCATGATACGAATACTCCTCTGGCTCACAGCTCGCCTAAATTCACCTCCAGTGACCTTGTCACATGAACACAGACACCAGACACACATGCCGCACTACAGAATTTTCCCCCTCCGCGCTGCCTGCACTACTGGCCACACAAACACCCGATTTCGTGCTGGTTTTTGGACCGCAGAAATGAGATGTCACAGGCTCCCCGCCAAAATAATTTAAAACTAATGTTTACCCATGGTCTGCCTTGGCTTGAAAAATTAAGGTACTGTGCGCATCATGGTGAAAATCATCATACTATATAAACTTCAGTGCCCCAGCTCTGTGCTGCGCATTGTCTGACCGGTGGGAGTGCATCCTGCAGACCAGATGGGCGAGGGGCGTCCTAGGGAGAGGAACTGGCCTTACCAGCTGGTGGTCTGTTTCAAAACAAGCGCCAGTCCACTCATCGGGCCCAGACCAAAGTATCCCCCAGCAACGGGTCTGACGACCTCGTCATGCTGATGTTGTGCTTGGCCTTGCCCTTGGGGATCAACGCCGTCTCAGCATCTGCCGTTGATGCTACCAAAATACGTAACTTGTACTTTGGCTACAGCTGCCCGCAGCAGACCCTTGGTATTGGAAGCCTCGGAACAGGAAGAGCTTCGCCTTCAGCCTCGACAGGATCTGTCCTGCGAGGAGAGGGCCGTTCCACCACACAACCGATGGCGTAAGCTCGTGCTGCAGAAACAGCTTGTTGCTGTGTATCCCTTCCTGCAAGTCGACTCGCTCGAAGCGAAGCGCTTCCTGGTCCTGGGTTCCCTCTTGATCTCAGCTCTCCTTTCCTCGGGTCCGTTGCCAGGACAGGGAGAGGGGGTGGGGGGGGGGGGCCGAGGGGGAGGGCTTCGAAGGACCTTGCGCTTCTGCTTCGCCTTGGTCGCGAGGCTGCTGATAAGCCTGCAGTAGGCCTTGCTTGCGCTTGTGCCATTTGTCGTGAGACTTTTCTCTGTCGTTTTTTGCAGAGAAGACAGAGAAGTGCTTCCCCCAATCTCCAGAGGGCAGTGGCATTGGGGATGCTTTTCTGCCTGATTATTTCGGCGTCGGGGAGGAAGGCATATCTCCCCTTGGATCGTACCCGGGTCCCCCGCAACCTCACGCCTGGGCAACTTTGACACGGCACGCTTGCCCTCTGCCAATACATGCTGCGGTCGGCCTGCTGCACCTTCCGCACAAAGGGGCTGTTCTCATAGACACAGACTCCACCCTCTGACTGTCTGAAAATGGATGTCCTGCAGCAGGGGAGGGTTGGGGGCCGGGGGGGGTAGTATTGGGGGAAGGAGAGGGGCCGTCTGCGAGGGACCTTCAAAACTATGGCCTCGAACGAGGATGGCCGAGTTCTCGCTTGCGCTCAAGCTGCAAACTTCGCGCACTGCCAAGCTTTTGCTCCACTTCGCACGAACTCTCCGCACCACGGACATCAAAGCTCACCTCATGTCAGACAGCGTCAGATGAAAATTTCACGGCAACTTCGCTCATGCATGATGACTAATTAGCCTCTGAGTGCGGCGAACAGCGTAGGTCCATGGATCCTCTTTCGCCCCAGTGCAATGACTAACTTGTCCCCAGTAGAACCGCGGGGTCAACCACTCCCGCCTCAGCATGTACCATGAGACCAGTGTGTCCGTCGCTGTAAAACTACCCTGCGGATCCATGTACAAGACCAGACTTCAGAGGGCGCGACTGTTTTTTGTTATGTCGGGCCACAAACAATATCCTCATACCTGCTGGCATCGAGGGCGAAGGGCATTCTGCCAAGGGCTTCAAGACAACAGGCCTCACCCAATTTCAGAAGCTGCTGAGTCAATAAATGCAGTGACACTCTGCTTCAATGCTTAATTTAAATGGTAATAAAGAGCCCAGGCCCAGGGCTTCGGCATCTCGAGTGCTGCGCTGCCAATAGGCGAGGTCGAACGAAAGGCCGCGACGAAGAAGCCAGGCCTTTCGTTCTCATCATTTACCCTTCCAAGAAATAGATCTCTGCAACACCAGACTGGCCCCAGGCACTTTGCTGTAAATTTTGTCCATGTCCCCGCCCTCACCTCGGGCAAAGGAGTGTACATGAAAATGTCCGCAGCAATGCAAGCAGCGGACTGTCTTCACCTTTTATTTGCGCCACCCTGCCTGGCGACATTAAATCAGTTCTCCGCTCTCATGGGACGGAGAGGTTCGCATTGCCCTGCCACGGCGAACAACAAGAATGACGCAGCCGTGACTTTTACTTTAAAAAGCATTTCAACCCCCAAGCCTATGCCGAGGGCGGCTGTCACATCTGCCAAGTACCCACTGTGGAAGCTGACATCGAGGACATAGGCCCGGTGTGGCTGACCCTTGTCACGGACACGAGAACCAGCTTGCCAACTTCTCGAGCGGCTGCAGCAATACCATGCTGGCTGAATCTCGAGGGCCGGGGGCGGGGGAAAGCACTGCCGCAAAGCTGAGGCCGGGGGCCCTTTCCGCTCCTCCGCCCTTGTTTTCCATCTTGTGGACATATGGCTTGCAGTCCTCCAGGAATTCGGTGCCGAGGGCCATTTGCACGATTTCTCCAGGTTGCAGAGTTCCCAGCATAAGCCCTGAACTAAGTAAGTTGAATTGTTAGACTACTGCTGCCCTGAGACCTCGCTTCACACAGAAACAAATACTTAAAAGACACTATCTGCAAAAGCGCTGCTTCGCCGCAGCATTCTCCTTGTCGAGCTTTGCTGCGAGCAGTTTTGCAGAGAAAGTCAATGAAGGTGGGATTTCTCAGAAATCCGCATGCTGCCAGGCACAGAACCTGGAAACATGCTGTCCCATTCTCTGCGCGCGAAGGACCAAACGCGGACGCGCCGCGGCTAGTCGAAGGCCCCGCCGCCCCACTCCTTGTTCCTGGATCAACGGTCAAATCCTTCAATGATTACGCAGAGAAGGCTGCACGCAATTTCGCCGAGTTCGACAATGCCCGCGGGCCAAGCTTCCGCGGTCCTTGGTCCTGGAAACGCGTTTTTGACGCGGGCCTTCGACGAGGCGAGATTCTCAGGCACTGCTTTTCATGGAGTCTCCAAAGTCCTTCTCGCCGAGTGCCGTAACAACGCACTAATATGCCGCGAAGCTAGTGGCAATGTGGTGTTTCTCCTCTGGATATATTTATTCCTACTTAGTAACGCTACGTACGAACAACGAGACGCAATTTAATTTTGTTTTTTGGTTTTTATCCACGATGTATGACTAGTAGTATTTGTATTATTAGTATTGTATAAGTAATTAAGTAAAAGTATAGTAAGTAGTAAGTAATAGTAGTAGTGTAAATAGTAAGTATGAAGTAAGTAGTAAGTAGTAGTAGTAGAATTAGTCAATAGTCTTATAGTAGTAGTAGTAGTAGTAGTACTTAGTAAGTAGTAGTTCCGTGAGTAAAGTAGTAGTAGTATCGTCGTACAAGTAGTAACTAGTCGACGGTGTGGAACGCCTTGTCATGTGTGCAAGAGCTACCTTAAAACTTTTAGACTCAGCACAATGGCATGTTTTATAGCATAAATACTAATATAAACCCAAGGGGCAGTGTCTTTACTACTACTAACTACTACTACTGCTACTACTTACTACTAACTACCACTTCTACTACTACTATACTACTACTACTACTACTAATACTACTAACTACTACTACTACTACTACTACTACTACTACTACTACGACGACTACTACTACTACCACTACTACTACTAATACTACAGATACTACTTACTACTGCGTGGGGGTATTGATCTCGACTTGTTGTGCGCTTCCCCACCAGAGCTGTAATGAATGTAGGTTGGCTGGCTACACTCTCCACAGACTGGACCCTGTCTCTCCCTCTTACTTTCCACACGTGCATCCTATGCAGGCAGAACCGCGGCGTTCCTTTTGCACTCACTGCCGGCGGCGGTTCCGTCTGTGCAACGGGATAGCTCTGATTGCTCAGGATAGAAGACACATATAGCACTTAGCTATGGGCATTGACTTGAG